AATTAGCAGAAAAAAGAAAATTCTTGGTAATCTGTTTCTGACCATTTTACCCAAACCTAGTGTCAACAGCCATTAAAAGAAGAAAACAGTCTCAGACAGGGTAAAATACTTTGTGCTTTTTATTCGTGAAAACATTGAAAAAAATATGTAGGCTTGCACTGTTACTATTACTATACTATTAACAGTATACTACTAATTCTAATACTATTAATACTTAACAATAACTTTTAACATTTAACTTCCAAATGAAGCCTCTTCAAATGTTTTACACTTTCTAAAACTGAGAACCAATCACATGGCTATTATCATTCACAGGAAAAAAGACTTCAAAATAGTGCATTAATACTGCATGATGGCAGGCAGTTATTAAATATTATTCAGCCATGCAGAAAAATTTGCAAGTCAGTTGTGGGAACATGTTTTTAGCATAGCATTTCTGTGTGAATATTTCTGGTTTATTTAATAACATTTCCCTTGGTTATTAACAGCTGCCTCAATTCCTAATTTTAAAAAAAACTTGCAGTTACATCCTTGTCTTAAAATAAGTGAATTTGGCCTCAGAATGTTAAGAAAATTAAATTACCACTGCTTTTAAACAAAACAGGCAAAAGAAAATGATATGTTTGCTCTTAATTCTTCAGGTCTTTCAAAATATTATGAAAAAACATTACATTTGACAGAGCAGAATGGACATGGTTTTTAAAACATTGAAGTGCCAGTCTTTTATGTTGATGTGAAAATTAAATAGCCACTTTTTAATAGCAAAATTTCTCTACTACTTATTCACACAAGGCATCAGAAAGATGGGGTTTATTTACCTTAGACAGATCAGCCTAAATGGTTGTTTAATGGATAGGAAGTCTTTGATGATAAAAATGTCCCAATAAGATGCATTTGGATATTTGAAAAGGGCAGGAACAAGGCTAAAGCAATACCCTTCATCACTGGCGAGCTGCTGAACATCTCCACAGTTACCAGAAAGGCTTACTTTGAAGTTTGGATAAGATGCATTTTTCCGTTTGATGTTTTTGCTAGGTGGATGATTCTCTTTTTATCAGCTCTTCTTAGCTTGATATTTGCATGTCTGGGCCAACAAAACTTGCAAGAATAGCACATGAAAGCATTTCTCTAGGCAAATCGACAGCATTCTTGAGAAAACAGCTGGAAGAGGGAGCTGACACTTTTATGCCTCTGAATGCAGGGTGTTTAACTGGAGTGCAACTGTATCAAACCAGACTAAAACCACAAAAGAGAATAACTGAGGATTCAGTTACACTGTGAAATGTACCCCTGGCTTTTTAAGTGCCTTAGGCTGAAAGCCCCTTTAATAAGAAGGATGGTCATATACTGTAAAGTATAATACAAATAGTTAACAGAAACAAAGGCCTCTATCGTCATCATGCCTTCTCCTGTTGAAGAAGAAGAAGCCTGTTCCGATACAATTAGGTGTCTCTTCAGGGCCTATGGTGCAGTGTGGGGGAAAACGTACTTCCATTGCAGTTCTGGTCTAGAAACACTGTGTTCCAGACCTCAGACTGTGTCTGACAGCTGACAACTTACTGGCATAGAAAGGAATGTTCACACAAAACAGCAAATCCTTAAAGAGAGAAATGGATGACACCAAGGGATTTTATTGTGTTTATTTTATAGGATGCAGAACTTGACTGGCTTAAACATGCAGGTGTCAGGGCACCTGGAGAAAAAAATGTTGAACTAATAATGAATTCCACTTATGCCCCAGTTGTCAGTATAAAAGCAAGAAATAATAAATGATTATAATAAATTCCTTACACTTGTATAGTGCTTTTCTGGAAACTCCACCAGTTGTCAGAGGGGAGGGGAACAGAGTGATGAAGCCATTTTATATTAAATTCTTTATCTGAGCTGCTTTTATGCCCTGGTAGATCCGGGGTGATAAGGATTGCAGTTCCAACTGACCTGCTACCAGAGACACTGAAGACCCCTACTAGGTGCTAATAGTCACACTGAGGGGAATTAATTAACTATTAGAGAATGGATGAAAGGTTAGCAAACCACAGCCTCGCACAGGTGAAATTGGGTTTCCTTTGAATAAGAATGCGTGTGCCTAGTTTTTAAGTGGTGTTGGGTGTTTGAAGAGCAAATCTTGTGCATTTGTGTGCGTTTGTTCCAAAATGGGTTTAAATGTGCTCAGGCTGCACATGCAACCTGAAGAAAGAACTCTGTTCCAAAGACATGGAATCTCATTTTGCTTCTTCTTAAAAAATAAAAAGATCCATTAGAATGCTCAGCAGTGGCACTGTCACCATTAAACTCATACATAAAACTTTTGGAAGCTCTGAATTCAACATGACTGGACATTTGTTTTTGATTGACAAATAGCTTCTTTTCCACAATCTTGACCAAGCTTGTCATCAATTAACCTCTTAATCACCAATCCCCGTGCTGTTATACAAAGCATCAGTTTTGGCTACTCATTTATCAATAGGAGTTGTGGCATACAATTACAAGACAGCACACGCTGAGAGCAGGTCTGCATTACCCCTTAGTTTGCACTTGATGGAGGCAGAAGGCAGGGATGTAGAAGCACTTTTACTATTAAAACTTTCACTTAAAATACTGACTATATGTCAGCATCATATCATTTCTGTCTCAGTTCCCCACATTTCTGATTTGCACATTTTTGTAGGCTTTGTGGATATGGAAAATAACTGGACAAAATCAGTCATTTATGCCTTTGACATCCATTAGCAAAACCACTTGCCTTTCCCCCTACATTCAGATTCACTCCTCAGGTTTTTACTTATTTGACCTTTAAAATTTCTTTTACAAGTCACATAATATAGTAGAACATCTATATTATTTATTCTCATTCATTTCATTTTTCTCCATGCTCCCACTTTCCTCCCACTGCAAGAAGCAGAACTAATTCACTCTGGTTTCATTTGGAGAGGTTTGCTATCAAGGACTTGCTACCCATTCACTTCCTTTCCACTCGCTTTTAACTGGGATACAAAAATTAATAAGTAGGATATTATCCCTGACTGGGAGGCAGTCTGTCATAAATGGGAAGAAACACTATACTGGCAGTTAGATGAAAAATGGTTCCTGCATGTTACACTCTGCACTTGTCTTCATGAAGTATCAGCTGTCAGGTGTTTGCACAGGTCTTGACTTTTTATCTAAACTGTTTTCATATTCTTTCACAGTGTTCTCTAATTCTTGATTTTGGTATGGCATCCAAATAGCTCTGATGCACTCAGTGTGATAAGCACACACCTACAGTACATACACTTTGAAATGTATGTGACTGATGTTCTCTTAGATATAACTGGATTTCCTAGGAACACTGCACTTATACAGTATGATTAACATATCAGTCAGGTTTGCAGAGCTATTTGGATGCCATACCAAAATCAAGAATTAGAGAACACTGTGAAAGAATATGAAAACAGTTTAGATAAAAAGTCAAGACCTGTGCAAACACCTGACAGCTGATACTTCATGAAGACAAGTGCAGAGTCTAACATGCAGGTAGCAGAAACAAACATCAGAAGGGAAGCACTGAGCTTGAAAAAGCTACAGCTGAACAAGACAGGTGTTTATGTTGACACATCCTCTTCCTCCTCTAGTGTGTGGAAGCAATAAAAAGGAAAGCGGAATATTAGGATATACAGAATAGGCAAATACAAAAATAAATTACCTGTTACCTCCGCTGTGTTCTTATGCGATTGTCAGTCTTTAAATATCCTGCAACAATGACTTTCGGGTTACTGGAGGAGTCAACTCTTTTTAGTCTTGAACAGAGAAGACTGTGAGGAGACCCAATACAATGTCAACCCAGCCGAAATTTTCAGAATGAACCTGAAGACACAGGTGCAAGCTATATGTATGAGCATTACAAACTGGGAACATGTGGCTCTTTGTTATTCAAAGGGGTGTGGGAATATGGAACAAGCTAGCCAGCCATGTCGTTGAAGCCGAGACCCTGGCTTCTTTCAAGGAATAGCTGGGTGAAATTCTTGAATCAATTAGCTGCCAAACAGGCTAGATGGGCTGAGAGGCCTCATCTTGTTTGTAACCCCTCATGTTCTTGTGTGCCCCCAAATACATTTTGCAGGTCTGGGTGAAGTCTGAAATACCAATTCAAATTTATTGCAATTGTTCTTAATAGAGTAAAGTTCAGCCAAACTGCAAAAACTATTTTGTCCAGGACAGATACATACTGTTGCTTAAAGAATTTGAGTATTAAGCCCCTTTCTTCATTTTCTTTTGTGTAAAATCCGTTTTTTGTGCTGTTGTATTGTTGCCATTTGTTTGTTTCTAAACTTTTTTTTTTAACATAAAAGAACCACTCTGTTAATCCAAGACAGCTGTTCCAAATCCAGGAGTCACATGAGATGCCACATTAAGCCTACAGAACCTAGTAAAGTTATGGAGATAACCAGAAAGACCCTTGGTAACTTCAGTCGCTGGAACCCCAAAACATAGAGCCACAGGGTGCTTCCTGGTGGAGTGACTGAGGACACATCACAGTGCCAGTCCACCACATGCAATTTAGCACTCTGGGATCCACCTGCTGAGTTAGCCTTCAGCACTGGTTTACATTTTGCTCAGGCATTACAAAAGACAACCAAGAGGAAAAGTTACTGTACCCTTTTCAGAGAATTCTCCACTTCATCCTTCAAACTGAGACCCAAGGGTCCTAAATAACTCTGAATCTTTAAAGTGATGCAATTAGGTAAGTGTCACAAAGCCCTTCGAGACTGAAGGCTAAAGTTCTTTTTGTTTTAGATCTGCAGTCTGAATATATTCCCCAGCAACCAATGGTATCCAAATAACTGTCTAGGTCTGGGAAGGCCTCCAAGTGCTTGACAACTGATGAGAAAGGACCCACAGGCTGAAACAGACTGCAGTATTGTCATTGTGGTTCATCAGAAGCAGCATTTAAGTTAAATTATGCATATTGTAAAACCCATTTCCTACTAACTTAATAACAATAATTCCTTTCTTTTCTATAGAGCTTTTAATCTCAGAGGATCCCTAAGCACGGCACATACAAAGGGGGACCCACTTCAACCACCACTGAAGCGCAGCACCTAATGATGTGACACATGACAGCAATTGTGCACCAGAAGCCCCGCTGCACAAAGGATAAAGTAGAGGAGTAAGAATCCGCTGCACTAATCGAATTAAGGGGTAAATGTAGGCATCCCAGACTGAGGAACTAATCCAGAACAGCTTCTCTTACAAACAGTGCCTTAAGATCTTTAGTGACTGAGTAGTTAGTACCTTAGTTTAATGTCTCATCCAAAGGATGACACCCCCTCAGCACAAAGTCCCCAGTCACCAAACTGAGGCATTCGTTTGGAAATCTGGGACCACACAGAATAGTGGCCCCAACTTGTCTACCTACATACCATTTATAGCAGCAACTTGATTTTCCTTGGAGGTCTCCCATCTTAGTACTGACAAGGCCCGGCCTTGGTTAGCATCGGAGGTCAGGTTACAAATTGCTACTGTTATCGTCAACTTAAATAATAATTAGAAGGAAACAAAATTGCTAAAATGTCAGAAGAAACCAAAAACTTGATAATATGCCAAATAAGCTCACCCTTTACATAATAAATCCAAAAATCTTTCATGCAAATACTACAATAGTCCCATTACCAATACTCAGTATAAAACTCGTATTTGATCTGCAGCACAGCCAAAATATTTTTTATAAACTGAGGAGATAGGGTTAAATGTTAAAGCCTTCCAAAAGTTTTATGTTTACAAATCAATTAAATTATGCCAACTATCTTTTCACAGTTAACTATGACCGTTTACTCTGTAACAACAGAAACATTCCTCAGGATTCTTGGAAAGGGTGATTAGTAGTAGTAGTAAATCATATGGCAGTGGTTGAACAAACTGAACAATTGTGATTAATTGATTTTGTATAAAAGCATTAACCACAATTTATACTGCATACAGCTCTAATTTTGGTGTGAAGTTACAGTCGTCATCAACATTTCATAGGTATTTAGTTTTATCCTAGCATAAATTTGCAAACCAAATGCTGTGATACAAAGATAAAACATTAATGCAAAATGAAAGGGACACCCTGAAAAAACAGTGCCATCTGAATCACATGTACTGCACATCCCAGAATATTAAATACATTTATAAAACTCCAGGAAACAGTTACTCACCCATTTGAGGTACCCCCAGAAAACGTATTTTTGTAATAATGGGTGAAATTTATGCCACAACAGATTTTCATTTTAAATACTCAGCTTTTACTTACTTCAGAAAATAGAACTATTCCAGGAACCGAGTAGATCTATGTAAAAACTTATCTTCTTCCATTTCCTTGTCCATAAATACATATTATAAATTATAAAGTATTTCAACATAGACTCAACCTTCCACACATTGTTGATAAGAGCCTTTGTATATTCTACCCATGTACTAAGAATATTATTTCTCAGGGATTATTTATAAAGAAATATACAGTACAGGCTCACATTGTTTTGTGAAACAGAATCCATTACATAATTCTGCACACACAGTGCATAGCTCTTCAAAATGGGAAAAAAAGGAAACTGCATGATATTTTAAATGCAATTGGGTACAGTGCACATGGACATTCCACGATCACCCCTGGCTTTCCGGTGTGTTGCAACAAGGTTTGGCTCAGGAGTCTTTCTTATCTCATGGTTACAAGTTTTGAATACACAGAATACATCCAGGAACAGGGTGTTCTTTCCAGTAAGGCTCCGTGCCAAGAGCCTCACCGCCCCATGCAGCTTGGTACATTATCTGCCAAGATGTGGGCATAGGCTTGTATCTGTCAAATAGCTCACCAGGAGGCAATGAAGATGAAACACACAACATCAGTACCAAACAACAATTAGTACTCCAAGGACCATCTTTAATACGTTCATTTAAAATATTTAAAAGAACTAAATGTCAGCAATGTCTATACACATATAGTTGATACACGTAGTGTTTGGGGCTCATAATTCCAAGTCTGTGCCACTTATAGTAATTGGATCTGCTTCTTAACTGAACTTAATTCCATCCATTCTTCTGTTAGTTGTTTATGTAGTACAGGGTCGCGGAGCCTATCCAGGCAAACAACGGACACAAGGCAGGGTACATCCTGGATGGGACAGCAGTCAGTCGCAGACAGGGACAATCACACACAGGCTGACATCAGTGCCAAAGTTCCCTGAAGCCAGTTAACCTACCAGTATGTCTTTGGACTGTGGGAGAAAACCAGAGCACCCAGAGAAAACCCACACGAACACCCCAGGAATTGAACCCAGGACCTCAGCGCTACAAGACAGCAATGGTAACCACTGCGCCATTTTGCTGCCTAAATTCTGCAAGACAAGTTTCCATTAAGAACTTCAAGGTAACCTCATTTAAGTGGGTGTATGACATAGCTTTACTATTCAAGTGAGAAACCTCCTTTGCAAGATTAAAAGGATTTGAGGAAGACTGAGAGCTCTATGGAAGCCAGTGCAACAAAGGTGCTTCCAAAATGAATGGTTTCTTTGAACAAGGAAAATTAAAGTTTTTCACTAAGAGTACTAAAAACAGTGATGAGATGAACTGCACACTGCACTTTACAGTTTTTCAGTTGTATGTAGTCTAATTCAGGTCTTGCAGTGGTTGCAAAACCTATTGCATTTATGTAATTATTTGAATTTAAATTCCTGCAGGTGAAGATTTTGTGGAAGTGGAATACATCATAAAATTTACTTTGTCTAAAATGCATTTCACTCAATTTGATAAATTAATGACAGCTGTCTGTGCAAAAATTCATAATTAAATAGGAATGCAAAAACATTAAATACATCAGAATTAGAAATATATTTTTAAAAACATGTATATATAAACATATGTTGTAAAAATACACTTGAAACTCACTTTAACCACAGGGTAACTAAGTACATTTCAGTGTAACCTTCTTGTGTACAATGTGCACCATGACTTTAAATGCTGTTTCCCTTTGTAACACAGTCTGTAGTGTGGGGTGGCATCAAAATCAATAGTTCTTGAAGAGGCATATGAAGACAGTTACTCATTTAGAAACATACAAAAGGCCAAATGTCCTGTTTCCAGGAAAGCTGACACTGGAGTATGTTGTCAACAGCTCTGTTTTTAGACTTAGAATTCCAGCACATTAATCCAATCAGTAATGCTGCTCTTTTACTGGAATATGTCATCTACGACAGAGGTGTCTATTTCCGCTGTCAGCAGACTGTTATGAAGGCACCTCACAGTTGCCCGCTTCCCAAACTTTTGCTTCCACAACACAAAAGCTGCTAAGGCCTGGCTCTGCACATTGAGACAGTGGTTGGCTTTGCAGCGGTAAATGTCATTGCTGGACAAACCAAGATCCAGAAGAAGGGTTTCCCATTCTGGTCCCAGCCTACCGACGAGTTTGTTCAGCTGCTTGTCAGAAGGCACACTGTTCAGCATTTCTTCTGAAATTTGCAGAAGTGGTTCTGTAAGGAAAACACAGAAAATCACTTTGAGAAGAACAACAACTTTGATTAATGGATGATGTGGATAATAATTAACATATATTCATCCACTTTCTAACCACTTCATCCAATTCAGGGTCATGGAGGGGGGCAAGCCTATCCCAGCAATCAACAGGTGCAAGGCAGGGGACAGCAAAAGAACTGAGTGCTCCTCCTTCTATAAGCTCTTATTCTGTTTTTTTTTACACCTTAAAGGAACCTAGTATTGTCTTCCATTGTTTGGAAACCTCCTATGGAAGTGATTTTATTGTATTGTAACTGAAATACCACATTCCCGGAGGTCTGCGTCATTCCACACTGTACCAGATTCATCTGGGTGAAACAAGGTGTAAGCTAGACCCTAGATATCTAGAACCTAGCTCTGACTGCGTTACCAAGACCAGGGTAATTGCATTTCATCATTCATGACTGGACGGGATGCACATGAGTGATTCCGACAGTTCCACAAGCAATAAATCACCCCCATCAGCAAGAAAGCAGATTGGGCACAGGTGATGACATGATTTAAACTGTTGAATGTCAAACCTGGTGAAAATAAAGAAAGAAAAAAAACCAACATGCCCAGCGATTTTCACAAGAAAATTGCCTTTGTACCCATCAGTATACTGGAGGCTGTGCCGGGTCACCTCAGGTGGATCCACTGGCAATGGACCCAAGTCTTCTTTAGTGATCAAAGATTCTAAAAACTGCCTTTATTTATGTTATGAAGTGGGGCACAATTAGGGCGATGCACTAATTCTTGTGTACAAAAGACAAATTGAAAGGGAGATCCAGGTGTTCTGGTCTAGTCTAGCTACCTACTGTAGCTGCTACAGAACTCCATGTGTAGTGACTGATCAATAGCAACATAACTATTGTACTGAGCAATTTCAGGGGTCTCATTCGCTGCCCCCTTCTGTGGGTTTATCCTGATGTGACAATATTCCAGCTGGATAACACACAGCCCCAGGCTACAGAGTCCTTATCGAATCAGTGGGAGGAGCTGGGACAGCATGTGACATCTGGGGCTCAGAGACCAGTACACAGGCTGTACAACGGGAGCAGGACAGGATTCCACAAGACAGCATCTGCAACCTGCTGCGAAGCATGCGTCACAGCAATCCAAGCCTGAACAGCTTCCAACGGTGGCGGCCACACACTCTGCTATCTTTGACTTTCCCCCTGCGGGGCGGCTCAGCTGATGACAGATCGTAATCAGCATCGTCGGTTCACTCATGTGAAGCCGGTTCAAAACAAATGTCTAGTGCGACTGCTACAAAAAGGAAGTCATATTCCCGATAACTAAAATATTCCTGGGAATTGGGTGTGGTTCTAACTGATAACTGTCGTTCAAATTGTCATCTTAATAATAACAACATCAAAATAAAAATGTCTGTTATTTTGACATGTTTTGACAAATTGACCAATCCCCATATACAGTACAATATTCTAATCTCGGCATACAACAAAATACAGCACGGATTTTCAAGACACTTGCGTAATTGTGTTGCTTATAGGCTAGTACAAACAAGATCAACAGAAATTCAGCATTTATTTTTGTACTATACTAGATCAGTGCATCTTCCAAAGGCCTAAATTATGACTAACATCCACAGACCTATGCTGTTGGCACACTTTAGTGCTTTGTAATACTCAAGAAAAACTGAAGAACCAGGAAAATGATTTCTGGTTTGCAGACTGGTAAAATAGAATGTAAGGTCCCAGGGAAATTAAATGTATATCCTACCAAGTGAAAACACACATTAAGGAAACGTCACATTAAGAGGATTCCCAACTTAAATAGACAAAGGAAAAGTGAAACCAACATTTTAAATGTGATTTTGCTACAAATGAAGCCTTTAGATTGAATGTAACTTTAATGTTACAAAGAGAAGCTTAGGCAAGATTAATTCTTATAAAGAAATACACTAAAGAAATTTAGGTCATCCCTGTTTTTAAAGCATTAATTTTATCGATTGCCAATATGCTCTTAATATTACATCATAGTCCTGAATTGCAACTGAAGATTGTAATATCCAGAAGTCAGTGACTGTCACATTATTCTAAGAAATTTTATTAGAGACCGAGACAGTAATTGCACTGAAAGTGCACTGTACTGCGAATTAAATAGGGCAGCAGTAAACAATAAAGGTTGTGTGACTGCTTTCATGGAAATCCACATTTATTTCTTGTACAGTATAAGCTAAACAAAATTACTATATGCACTGCTTGTTATTCCAATCCTATTTATAATGTAAAAAACAAAACAAGCAATTATGCAGAGTGTAATTAGCAGTTTAACTAAAGAACACTTTTTTATAGTTTTTTTAACACAAACATCACAACCTGTTAAACTCTAGTTTAAGAACACTTCACAGTATTCTGTTTCCAGCACACATTAAGCTATTAAGTCCATTTGTACTCTAACAACCCATGTGCTGTACTACAAAACGTAACATTTTTTCAAACATAGAAACATTTTCATTGGCTATTTCCAAATTACTTCCTGGATACCACTGGACCTTGACTGTTTAAACACAAGCTACAGATTAAGGACATGTTAATTTTTTGTGTGTTCAAAGCAATACAAGACATCATAAAACAGACAAAGAGCTACATTGTAAATAAAAGGAGTATGGAAGCAACTGAATGCTTTACAATTCTATAAAGGAAAGGATTGAGGTTTCCAAGAAACAGCAAGGGGGGGGGGGGGTTTGTTACTTTTTCTAGGAATTCTTTTAAGTTAAAAAAAAAGTCAAGCTAAGGCCATGTGCATTTTTATTGTATATTCCTAAAATACTTTTGAAGAAGTAGAAAGAAATTAGCAATAATGAATCTCATTATATGAAATTACCACACAGAGATAGCAACTAACAGCTGAATCCCTGCCAATGCCCTCCTGAGTGGTACTACAGCTTTCAATAACAGAGAGTAGTTTATTTTTACTGTGTACTAAATGAAAGTCTGAAAGCAAGCTAATTTAATTTGCCGAGGTTGTTAATGCTATCATGTTCTGAACAAAAAAAAGAGGTTTTCTGTGGGATAGATTTCCATATTGTTTCATATCCTGAAATGTGGTAAATTAACGTTAACAGAAGTGGTTCGTAGGTGGCACAGTGGCAAAACAGTTGGAATTGCTGCCTCAAAGCACTGGGGCCTTGGATTAAATTTTTTGGGCCTTGGAGTTTGTATGTTCTCCCTGGGTTTGTGTGGATTTCCTCAGGGTGCTCTTGTTTCCTCCTATAGCCCAAAGACATACTGGTAGAGTAAAGGGCTTCTGGGAAAATTGTGTCCTGCGATGGACTAGTATTCCATCCAGGGTGTATTCCACCTTGCACCCAGTGCTTACTGGGACAGACCTCAGCTGCCCCGCAACCCTGAACTGGGTTAAGTGGTTAGAAAACAGATGGATGCATTCAAAGAATGTTACATATTAATAAATTATAAAAAAAAAACTTTTGCAATAGCTTGTTTTTCACTAAATATTGGCCCTGGCGTGAGTGTGTACGTGTCTGCGTTTGTCGTCCCTGCGATGGACTAGTGTCACATCCAGGCTGTATCCTGCCTTACACCCACTGCTTGCCAGGATAGCCTCTGGCTCACCAGAAATTCTGTACTGACTGAAGCAGTTAAAAAAGGGATGGATAAGCAGTTAGGTAGGTCGTGCTGGGGACACTGTGGTCAACCTCGCCCAACCCCTTCAGCACCTGGTCAGATGTGCACTGTGGCCTGGGGAATCAATAACTGGCAGCCATATCCTGAACCAGCTGAGACATCAGGGAACCACAATAATTGCATGACATCTTAAGGACTCCACACTACAAGGTATATAGATCCAGAAGATTGCTTAAAACACGTGTGAATTTCTGGCAAATGCTGGCACAGATATTTAGTTTAAGATGTCAAATGTACTGCAGACTTTGCTACAAGACCTTTCAAACTATGAAAGTTTGTTTTTTATGTGTTAGTCTCTGAGAGTTACAATTTAACAAGAATGAAAGCACAACATTCTTTACAGAAGAGCAATCTGTTCCTTTGCTTATTGCTCACAAGGGAATAGGCAGACATCCGAAAGGCTTGAGAAAGACTGAATTTCAAAAGAACAGGTTTTGGGACCTTAAAACTTCATTTCACTCGTGTGAAATGTTAATTTTTTTTTTTTAACTGCAACAGATTACCAAACATTTGTTCATTGTAAAGAAGTATAATGGTCCCTAGAAACATAACACAGCGATGAAAACATTGAAAATTACTGTATCATGAATTACAGACATAGAAAAACACATTGAACACATTGTATTAGACCATGTGACTAGTCAATGCCAGTGCCAAAGCAGGATTCTCAAAAAATCAAAACTCTGTGTTCTACTTTTCCTGGCAAGGTCAATTTAAAGAATGCACTGAACCATATAAAAAGGGTAAATTGGCTGGAAGTATTAACATTACCAAAGTAAAACATTCTATGCATTACATTTACTTTGAAATGCACTTATTGTATAACTCAATTTTAGCCAAAGAAACTCAATACCGCTATGGCTATGCTAAGGAAGAAGATGGAAATGATATACAGAACTCAAACTATTTCTTGGAAACAATAAAGATCATGCCACTCGTCTTCCTTGAACCGAGAGGAAAAAAACAGCTTGAACACCTCTGTTGTGGCCTGCACAATTACAGGTAAAAACTGTACAGAGAGCATGCGAGTTATATCCTTGACTGATCCTCTGTGAACAATATCCCAGTAAGCCTATTTTCCTGGAATCCTCCACACTGACAGATTCTCTGCCAGGAATAAGCTACGATACCACAGAACACGATTGCTGTTCTCAGCCATTCAATATAGAAGAGCCTCTGCTGTATTGCATTAAGCATTAAGCATTAAGAATTAACCTTGTACTGTTCAGCCAGTACAATATGAATCTTCACAACAAACAGGTGCTCTTTCAAAACTCAAACTTCTGTTGTCTTATGTATATTCTAGT